GGTGATATGAGTAAAATGAGACATGTTTTACATTCATCGTGCAACCCTTTCCTGTTACTTTTTTAAAGTGGTGTACCAATGTTTGATTAGATGAACTATTTCAATGCTCAGGTAGTGTCTGAAATTTTGAATCCATCTGTAGTAAAGAGCAAAATCAATACTTAAAGAACAATGAAAAGAGCAACAAAGGGCAGTAAAAATACTTGCAACGCAAAACTTGGGCTTCAATATCCATAAACGTCTACTGTGTAACAGTGGAAATCTGAAATGAATCGATTCGCCACCAAATAGACATGTGATGTAGAAAATCAATTGATTTATTAAACACTGTTCTTTATTCATAGATTATTGCTTCAAAAGTATCTGAAAACATAATTAGTTTTAGAAATATATTTGACATTTCACTCTTATTGTTTTATGGTGCACTAAAATAAGTTGTAATGAAGTAGCTCGTTTGTGACTTGAAAAAATATAGATTTATGACAGTTTTCACTATTGGAAAACTATATAAAAATTAAAAAAGAAGAAAAAGAGATGCTAAACTTTGACAGAGATATCAAAAAAGTAACAGACATAGTTGATTTATTGCGTATTTCAAAATTGTATGCTAAAAGCTAACCCAGATAAAACTTTTAAATGTTTGACAAAAATATCACTTTCACACTTATGTAAATTTTCCCCGATATATACTTCCTTATACTGACTTGTTTATGCTCGCCACAGCGATTTCTCAACATTCAATTGTTTAAATAGGACAATATGAAATAGCCTTTATGATACTAACATTGTTTGTAACAATGACCCGAGAAGGCAATGGATTGTTCATAGATTTAACAATCAATAGGAAGTTTTATAATTATTTTAGTTTTTAGATGATCAAATCATTGCATGTAAATACATTTAAATGATTTACTTATCACAGTGACATTTCACATCGATTGTTCGTAATATTGTTTGTTAATTCGTGATATGTTTTTACATATTCTTCCGTTTCCAAGTATTATGATTGATTAAGTATATATTAATATATATCTTAGTTAAGTTTTGTTGGTAATTGCTTAAAATAAGCTATTGCATATTTTGTATATTTGTATGAGGAAATAAAGTTTTACAATTATCTTTTCATTCACTACTTTCTACACAATACGCAGCTTTCAAACCTAATTTGTAGAGACGGATAGGTTTTGCTGCTGTGTACGAGTCATATAGAATCAGTATTGTACTAAACGATATATAATTACATCATTCCACCAGACGTTTGACATTTTGATAGAATTTTGTTATTTAGAGCTCAATAAGGATTTGATATGAGTTTATTTGACTCTGATGATGAAAACGATCCAAGACGGAGTACAATAGTGATTTGATATGAAATTTTTAGACTGGCAAAAACATGAAGATAAAAAGGCGGCTAAAGTGATAAGATTGAGTCATATGTTATATTGGAAGACCAATTGATGAAACGCTTAAAGTTCATTGGTTGTGCTTTATAAGATGTGAAATTAATATATGTACAATAAATGCGCTTAATTTGTATCAACTCGCATAGCTCGATCGGTTGAAGCGTGAGATTTGTAATCTCGACATTGTGGTTATGCCAAATTACACATATCCAAATGGCGTCACTGCTTATCCTTATCACGCTCAATATCTTCCAATGAGCCTTTCGATCAATTTAGTCAAGGCTAAATATCTTCCATAGACCGTCCGCCTTTCGATCAGTTTAGCCAAGGCTAAATATCTTCCATAGATCGTCCGCCTTTCGATCAGTTTAGCCAAGGCTAAATATCTTCCATAGATCGTCCGCCTTTCGATCAGTTTTGCCCAGGCTAAATATCTTCCACAGATCGTCCGCCTTTCGATCAGTTTTGCCCAGGCTAAATATCTTCCACAGATCGTCCGCCTTTCGATCAGTTTTGCCAAGGCTAAATATCTTCCACAGACCATCCACCTTTCGATCAGTTTTGCCAAGGCTAAATATCTTCAATAGATCGTCCGCCTTTCGATCAGTTTTGCTCAGGCTAAATATCTTCCACAGACTGTCCGCCGTTCGATCAGTTTTGCCAGGCTAAATATCTTCCACAGACAGTCCGCCTTTCGATCAGTTTAGCCAAGGCTAAATATCTTCAATAGATCGTCCGCCTTTCGATCAGTTTTGCCCAGGCTGAATATCTTCCATAGATCGTCCGCCTTTCGATCAGTTTTGCCCAGGCTAAATATCTTCCATAGATAGTCCGCCTTTCGATCAGTTTTGCCCAGGCTAAATATCTTCCATAGACCGTCCGCCTTTCGATCAGTTTTGCTCAGGCTAAATATCTTCCATAGACTGTCCGCGTTTCGATCAGTTTTGCCAAGGCTAAATATCTTCCATAGACCGCCCGCCTTTCGATCAGTTTGCTCAGGCTAAATATCTTCCACAGATCGTCCGCCTTTCGATCAGTTTTGCCCAGGCTAAATATCTTCCACAGACCGTCCGCCTTTCGATCAGTTTAGCCAAGGCTAAATATCTTCCACAGACCGTCCGCCTTTCGATCAGTTTTGCCCAGGCTAAATATCTTCCATAGATCGTCCGCCTTTCGATCAGTTTTGCCCAGGCTAAATATCTTCCATAGATCGTCCGCCTTTCGATCAGTTTTGTTCAGGCTAAATATCTTCCTTAGATCGTCCGCCTTTCGATCAGTTTTGCCCAGGCTAAATATCTTCCATAGACTGGCTGTCTTTCGATCAGTTTTGCCCAGGCTAAATATCTTCCACAGACTCGCTGTCTTTCGATCAGTTTTGCCCAGCAGAGTTTAAAGTACTAGTAGTTAGACCTTAAAATGCTTTTTACTTATAAAGCAAATAATGTATAAACCAAGCATTGTCTTGGAGTACAGAGATAGTCAGTTTCATAGTTATTACTTAATGTGAAGACATTATTTAAAGTGAGAAATTGAGGGCCATCATAAAACCTATTGTTTTATTCTTATCACTGTTATATATTATTTACTTTCTTTAAAAAGAAGTATGCGAGAGTATTTTTGCAACTGTGGAAGATTTGTTTAATAATTCATAGGCAGAATAGTTGTATTATCGGCTATTTCCCGGGGTTACCTTTAATTAGGAATTATCGGCGAGGTGTCCCGAAATAAATGGAACAGCAAAATTTCGGTGCAATGTTCCCTCGGCCATATAATAGTGCTTGGTAATATTGTATCTATAATGTTAACTGTTACTATTTTTTTCGCAACATGAAATAATAAAACACTATTTAAAAAACAATAAGCAATTTATACAGTTTAAAGAATTATAAAATGAAATGAAGTGTTAAAGTTAACGTAAATGCTACATGTATATTCCGATCTTTCCTTGTTGTGGTGGTATAGGTAGTTTACCAGAGCCTAATCCATCTATCACATCGTTCCTGGACATACACAGGCAGTTTACCAGTACTAGTTGTCTTCACTTTCGAAAAGAACTTCTGTACATACAAAAGCAGAGATACAGTGAGAATGACCGTAGAAAGGATTTCATGATCAATCACAACGAAAGTGACCTGCAAAGTCCGGGAATCGAACCCAGGTCGCCCGATTCATAGTCCAACGCGCTACCTACAGAGCTAACCGGACGGTTGTCAATCAAATGTTCCCAAGATTACAATTTCACCTACTGGTACTACGCAAAAAAACAATAAAAAAAATCCCCAACAAAACAACAGAAACAACAAAAGGCACCTCAATTAAAAAAAAACAAAAAAAAAAACGGCAAGGCTTAAATACCCCAGAATTATTTTTTCTATTCTATAAATTCTTCATGTACTTTTAAAATCACACGTATTTACATTTTTAAGAGAGTTCTTCCTCACGGAGCTAAACTGGTATTTCATGACTTTATCACATACACTTGCCGCTTTTGTAACTCCGTAAAATGGTATTGCACGGCCGTGCATATATTTTGACGTGGCGTTATTTGCCGTATGCAAACATAGCGTTAAGATGCGCTAAATAATTGCGTCAATGAAAACTGTTGTTGTTTTTTTATGTTACTTCAAACGGTCTTGTTTTGGTATGTAATAACTAGAATATTAAATTCTCGTAAGTTCATTACTGAATTTATTGAACTCATTCAACAAAATAAAATAATGCACGCCAGAGGCTCGCATAATATACTTTTATTCAACTCGTTCAATAAATTCAGTATTAAACTTACACTCATTCAATATCCTTTATACATTGTATAAAAAAGAAGGACCAGGTAAACCAGGTAAAAGAAGACCCCTCACACACAAAGGAAAAAAAAACATTAACTGCGAAAAAAATTCAATCATAGCATGCGGGTCACTCAAATGGTTAACAGAAATTTGATACGAGTACACTGATATAGTGTTTATTTTGATTCTGAACATGTTTGAACGTATCTACCGTTTTTCCAGGAAGAAGGTAGGTCTTCTCAATAAACAGGCTATAATCATTATATTATTTGTTTTGGGATTTTATAGTCCTCGAAACTTAAAGTACCGTATAATTAATATTTCAAATAACCTATTATGAGAACAATGTCCAATAATTTTCAATATATTTTGTTGACAAAGGAGTCAAGGTATATAGAAATGTACATGAAGGACTTTTGTGACTCATTTGCGTCTCATTTGCTTTCGTAGAATATTTTTTAAAACATTAGCAATAAAGATTTTTATATATGATATGGCGAATTATGAACGTTTATACATGGCCAGGTTACCTGAATTTACAATTTATTTGTTATAGTAGCATTGTATTGTGATATTGGTTTTGCATTTGTGCGAAGGGCTACATGTAGTTCGAAACCAAGCAGATCGGTAGCAAGGCTTTGAAAATAAATTATACGTTTTTGTTTTGTATTATACACCTCCGAGTTGTTAAGAACTATGCAAGCAAACGTTAGAGGTATGGAGGTATCTCACTTAAAAAAACAAAGCAAATTTTACTGCTGTAAGTAAACCAGCCTTAACGTATGCTTGGCCTATTTGCATGATTGTATTTTTGAAAAATGGAATTTCAATCGATAATCCATAGTAACTGGTAATCAATACATATAACACAGAGCAGTGATTCTCCTAAAGTTCGATTTATGAAAAGTTTGTGGAAGCATCATTTGTAAAGGAGATAATTAATATTTGGTTTTTAATATGGAGGCTACAATGAAGACAATTTTCCCGTGCCTATTTCTGATAGCAGAATTTATTCCCGGTAAGTTAATATTTTCTATATCTTATTGAATAATAATGAGATTTCACATTATATTTTGAACTTCTTAAAAATAATGTATATTGACTTTATGTTCATAATTTTAACTGATGCAGATATCTGACATGACATGTTTATTATGTGTATTTTTTTTATAAATTAAGAAAGTAAAATGCGCGATCTGATAGAAATCAGGGGAAAAAACAAAACGAACCAGAATTTTTTTAGATAATTCTCTTTTTGATACTGAAATATTTAAATATTTCTTCGATATTGAACATAATTACAAGAAATGAACACCAGTACGTTTGAAAAGATTTGAAAAAGTGAATTTTTCATAAAATAGGTATTGTTTCAAAACCAAACGTCTGAAATGTATCTATAATTGGAAGAAATCAAATAAAAAAACATGAATGAGAAAAGAAAACACATTATTTTTCTCTAAGAAACTAGATTCATATTCAGATGGTATCTGCAACTAAGACGACAATGTATTTGAGCCGTGTCATGACAAAACCAACATAATGGGTTTGCGACCAGCATGGATCCAGACCAGCCTGCGCATCCGCGCAGTCTGGTCAGGATCCATGCTCTTCGCTATCAGTTTCTCCACTTGTTATAGAGTTTGTAAGCGAACAGCATGGATCCTGATCAGACTGCGCGGATGCGCAGGCTGGTCTGGATACATGTTGGTCGCAAACGCACTATGTTGGTTTTGTCGTGACGCGGCTCATATGTTAATTGTTTTTAGGTGTGATCACCGAGGAATACTGCTCTCTTTTTACATATTGTGAGGATGGGTACTACTGTTGTGAAAATGATACCAAATGCTGGTAAACAAATATTTTAATATCAATTTTGATTATTTCACTCCTTTTATTTGAAGTTTTAATCCTAAAATCAATGTACAGTGTATTTGTCATACGTTGAGTGACATATGTATACATAAAAGCATCAAACAACAAAGGTAATCTGAATAGATTGGTGACAAATATTTGCTTTAGCTACAAGGATAAAATTAAATCTGTAAAACTGTGTAAATCTGTGTCCTTTCCAAACATTATTTTCTTTAATATGTATTGAACATTTAGTTTACTTAAATATAATAACTGATCGTAATTCTTCCTGGTTTCATCTGAAATATCTCACATACAATATGACATGTTTATAAAATAATATGAAAAATGTTAAGTTTTAGAAAGTTTAATACCTTCACTGAAAATAGAGTTAAAAAGTTTCATTTGTAATTAAAAAAAATAATATAGCGTATAAATACACCGCCAGTTGACAATTTTTCCCTTTAAAGAAGAAATTATGTACATATATTTGATGCATGTTACATGATAACAAATTGAATCTATTACAAGGATCATTAATTTTACTTTTTAGCTCTGAGAATATATTGACAATAGGAGCAATAATTGGTATAGTGATAGGCTGTATCGTCTTCATCAGCTGTGTCGTGGCTGTAATATGCTGCTTAACTAAACAAAGTCATCGAAAGGGACAAGTCATTCAACCGGTACAACCAGCTGGTATGTGTAAGATTGAAAAAAAAATCCCATTTATCACATACCCGTGCCGCCAGAGGCTCGCATAATATTGTTTTATTCAACTCGTTCAATAAATTTAGTATTAAACTTACACTTATTCAATATCATCTGTTGTTTGTATAACGCAAATGACGCACGTCAAAATATATGCACAGCCGTGCGATACCGTTTTTGCGGAGTCGTAAAAGCGACACGGGTATATGATATTATACAATTATTGACTAGTGAGCCATTGAATATGATGTGATATTCTCCGGCTGATGACACATTGACCGAGGCGATAGCTGAGGCCAATATGACTTTCTGGCTGTGAATATCACATCATATTCAATGGCTCACTAGTCAAAAAATGTCTGTTTTTTTATATGAATAGGCTAAGAAATAAAAAAAAATCACAACAAGTACAACCTTCTGTACATGCAAAATTTTTGCCTCGTTGAAGCGCGGGGAAAAACGCACGTGTTAGGCGTGCAACGACTGCGCGAACGCTGCGCATACAAAAATAATTCAAGTTTTTTTCTCATCATTGCGGTGTAGCCTTTAAGTATAATAGTAAAGTAATGATATTTTATTCGAGAAATATGTCCTAAAGAACAAAAAGCAACAATTATTTTTAATTAACATGCGTAATTAACAGTCTACGGTGTATGATCATTGCATATGAGTCTCAATCTATTTTTAGACTGGGAAAATCCAATTCAGCCAGTAAATATGATACTACACCTAGTGAATATGAATTTATAAAAAAAGTTCTGTTGACTACTGTTTTGACCAACGGGATTGTAGCTTTATATAGATCATATAATATAAGATAGGTATAATATGTTGGGGTGTATGTTTAAACATCAAATGTTATTTTTCATATATATCAAGAGTATAATCATATTACAGATGAGAAATTAAGATTAAAAGTAGTATATGTGAAGCTTTAATTCAAACTTATCATATTAGACCTACATAGTATTTTAAATACACACAGGTGTAACAGTTATAACAACTGGACAGCAAGGGCCTCCCGGATACAGCCAATCTGGCTATGGCCAACCAATGTATGGACAACAGCCAATGTATGGTCAACCACAAATGAATGGCCAACAACCTTTCGCGCAGCAACAATCTGGTGCCCAGCCGCCACCATTCGGTGATAAAGCGGGAACAAGCGATCCTGCATATCCACCGCCACCGCCAAATTACTAGTGCGAAAAAGATGGCAAAATTCAATATTTCTTAACCTTTATATTTACATATATCTTTGTCTTCCCTTCTTTAAATGTAAAATCATACAATAGTTTATATTACAATATACTATGTATATCTATGATCATTTCATTGTATTTTACCATTGCTATTTCATGTTTGTTGTATTATGTTGTATTTTGGGCCGGAGGCCTATGTTACATATATAAACTTTACTTATTAATCATACAATAGAACATACTCATTTAAAGTCTTGTGGAATGAAGTAATGCCAGAACATGTACACAGCTATATACATATACATAGTGTATATGAATTTTGTTTTAATATAGATGAAAACAAATACATTTGTACCGGATATTTACCTTTCCACTAGTGTAAATATCATAGCGGTTTTATCCGTGGTGATATGAATTAATGTTTATTGTGGTGTACCAATGTGTGATTCAATAAAATATTTCAATGATCAGGTATTGTTTTAAATTTAGAATCCATTTAGTAATAGAAGCAAAATCAATACTTATAGAACATAGGGCAATAGAAAATACTTGCAACGCGAAACTTGGGCTGCAAGAAATATCCATAAATGCCGGCGGTATCACAGTGCAGATCTTTAATGAATCGATTCGCCTCCAAATAGTCACGTGATGTAGAAAATAATTGATTGAAAAACACTGTTCTTTGTTCATAGAGTAATGCTTAAAAAGAATTTGAAAACATATTTTTAGAAGTATAATTATCATGCAATTTCTCTCTACTGTTACTGTTTTATGGAACACTATAAATGAAAGTGTACACAATAAAGACGCTAGTTTGTAACTTTAAGATGTAGATTTATCAACTTTGTCAGAGATATCGAAAAACGAAAAAGTAAGTGACATAGTTGACTTATTGCGTATTTCAAAAACAACCTTTTCAAAAGCTAACCAAAATAGCACTTTTACATTGTCAAAAATATCAAATTGACACTCCCCAATACTTCCTTATACTGACTTATCAATGTTTACCACATCGATTTATCAACAGTTAATGTGACACGTCAGGTATTTTTTGTAATACAAAAGAAACCGTAAACAGCCTATAATAGAATAAAATACTGCGTTGCGTTGAATTAAAGCGCGCATTATTTTCTCTTTGTCATGATCGGTTTGTGTATCAATTGGGTTTGGGTATCAATTAACCAATAGACGTGTTTACTGTATGGTAAAATTACATTTTACTAAACTGATAAAATCAGTGTAAGACGGTGTATATGATTTAGATCGTAAAGGTTTTACATTACAATTATGTAAATAATTCGATTTATATATAATTGTTATTTGTCTTTATAACATAAGTCAATTACATAAATCAAATCCGATAAGATTATTAGATAAGCCAATTAAGTTAGCAAATTAGGTAAAAGAATTCATGAAGACAATATAAAGACTGTGGCAGATGATTTTTATCTGTTACAATTTATTTGTAAATCTTCCTGTTCAGTTATTTGCTTATTGTTTATATTGTCATTGATCGTTATGAATAATAGTTTTAAAGATTTCAAACTAGATATTGTTATTTATATAATGTATTAGTGGCGCCTATTACGACCTGATGAATTTCAAAACTAACATGTAGTGTCCAGATTTGACCATCCCTGACCTTTAGGTAAGAGATTTATTAATTTGTTGGTGTTGGACAAATTACACTTGTTCTAAATGCGGAATCGTCAAAATGTGTCCCCTTATCATATTTAGCCTGCCTAAGTATTTATAGAATAGGAAACGCGATGCATGAAAAGCACTGAAAATGATAAAAGTCAAGTCAAATTGTACACACCAAAGCGCCAGTGTCTGACTTGTACACACCAAAGCGCCAGTGTCTGTATTGTACAAACCAAAGCGCCAGTGTCTGTACTGTACACACCAAAGCGCCAGTGTCTGAATTGTACGCAACAAAGCGCCATTTTTTGAATTGTACGCAACAAAGCGCCAGTGTCTGAATTGTACGCACCAAAGCGCCAGTGTCTGACTTGTACACACCAAAGCGCCAGTGTCTGTATTGTACACACCAAAGCGCCAGTGTCTGAATTGTACGCCAGAAAGCGCCAGTGTCTGAATTGTACGCAACAAAGCGCCAGTGTCTGTATTGTACACACCAAAGCGCCAGTGTCTGAATTGTACGCAACAAAGCGCCAGTGTTTGAATTGTACGCAACAAAACGCCAGTATTTGAATTGTATGCAACAAAGCGCCAGTGTCTGAATTGTATGCATCAAAGCGCCAGTGTTTGATTTGTATGCAACAAAGCGCCAGTGTCTGTATTGTACACACCAAAGCGCCAGTGTCTGAATTGTACACACCAAAGCGCCAGTGTCTGAATTGTACGCAACAAAGCGCCAGTGTCTGAATTGTACTCACCAAAGCGCCAGTGTCTGAATTGTACGCACCAAAGCGCCAGTGTCTGAATTGTACTCACCAAAGCGCCAGTGTCTGACTTGTACGCAACAAGGCGCCAGTGTCGAAATTTTACACGCTTTAGTTTATTTTTTATTTTTTGAACCAACCATTTTTCTTTCATTTCAGTAGGTAGCTTTTTTGTTTGCTTTGATTTTATGAATAACACTGAACCTTGTTTAATATGATTCAGGCCTGGGAATCTTAGTCATACAAATGGGCTTAGTATTATCTCTATAGTTACCTAAATGTTTAATTACAAATAAAACGAAAAGAAACAAGGAAAAAGAAATCTCCTACAGTGAGATTTCATGCATAAATAAATTGATTTAATCTTAAAATTATGTATTCGTTTTAAATAGAGATAAAGATGTGTGCAATTAATTTTGTTAGTTTAGTTTTAGATTTCCTTTATTAAGTAAATATAAAAAAAATTAAATTACCATTATAAGCACGTCTGCAATTATTTTCACTTATTGCATCATTACGACCGTGACTTCCCTTAAAGCATCTCTGAATTTCAAAATTTCAAAATTTGTTTTAGACAAAGATTTTAGAAAAAAGGGACAAGCATAAATGCAATAACTATTATCAAGAGACAGTTATGTACATGAAATCAGTATTATGTTATGTCCAGGACAAAAAATTGCTGACTGTCCAATAAAATAGAAATTCATACATCTAACAATGATAAAAGAAATGGAAAGGCTTAGAAAATTACATTTGTTTTTTGTTAAATCTTATGTTTCATTTTCTCTGTTAAAAGTCATTGACAACATTTATAGTTTACCAGTAAAGTAAAAAAATTTAAGCATATGCCGTCCCTGTTATTTTCGGCGTATTTGCCATATGGACGGCTTTTGCCGTTTCTATAATAATAATAATAATAATAATAATAATAATAATAATAATAATAATAATTATAATCATAATTATAATAATAATAAATTAATAAACATTAATGATAAACATGTCACACATGTAGAACATATAACAAAAGTTAAATCATGTGCACTGTAACATATCTACATTTAATACATACATGTACAACAAATATAAAGACAGTAAGGTAATAAGTACTACTTAACAAAATGGATGCGATAATGCATTGATTAAATACATGTTGTATATTGGTGCCTGCTGACGGCAAGCAAGCGACAAACAAACAAACAATCAAAATAACAAACAAACAAACAAAAACAGAGCAAAACAAATAATAACGATGCGATTATTGAATTATATATAGCTCGCTTACGATTATTGATAATGACTCGAGCTTTCATTCGGTATGAAGGTTGATAGAAATGTGATACTGTCGGCCACATACTACAGTCATACATTGTTTATTTAGATTTTAAACATGATTGAACTTACACATCGTTTCACCAGGAAGAAGGCAGATCACTGCAATGAAAAGGTTGCTGATATTATATTATTTGGTTTCGGTTTTTATTGTCTTTGAAACTAAGAGTATAGTTGTTTCAGTAACTTTATACCAGAACAATGGCCTGTAACATGAAATGTTTTAACAAGGAGGTCAAAGACAAAATATATCAAGGACTTTCGTGACTTATTTCCTTTTGAGGAATTACCCAAAATTGTATTAGTTAGAAATATTTTGATGGATTATATGGTTCAGTATAAAATGTTCGTGAAGCCTAGCAGCCTGAGATGACAGCCCAACAGCCTAACAGCCAGCATAAAAAAACACGAATATATTACAAACACGAAATCGGTGGTAAATGCATTATAAGAACTCCCTTAGTTCATTACACGCTTATTTTCAATGTCATGGTCTATAAATTTTAAGATGCTGAACCTTAAAGTTTTCATTCTGAAGCATCGAAATTTGTGAAGTTGGTAACTTATCATCCAAGAAGCCTAAAGAAAACTACGAATATAACAAACATGAAAACGGTCGGAAATCCATTATCAGCACTTAATTAGATCATTACAAGCTTATATATTCATATTTTTAGACGCTGAACTTAATGTATTTCTTTCTTTCAGACGCTTCGAAATTGATAAAGTTGGCAGCTTAGCAGCCTAAAGAAAACAAAGAATAATAACGATTGCTTTCTTAAAGTTTGAAAAATTGTTTGCATATCAGCTGACGTCTGAATAATTTATTTCTAACATGTCTCAGTTTAAACAGTATACATAAAAAATAGGTAGAGCGGTCGATGGACGCGACCAATAAATGAATGTGCCCAATGATATAATGTAACCGCGGTTATTTAACTTATTTCTATGACGTATTACAGCTAAGTACATCGATATTTCAACCCTTAAATAAACAAATTCTTTAATATATAAACTTGTTTGTTGTATAACACATTAACTACTTATTGTATCATAGTTTGGGACCTTTCTGTTGAAATGTGTCAGAGTTAAATCGTATACAAAGTTTCAAAGTTTTATTTCAATCAGAACCATTAGGCTTAAAAGCCCATGAGGCATACATATACAAAACTTTTATGACAAACAGTTTATACATATAACAATAATTTCATTATAGCAATATATCTCGCAAACATAATTTACTTTGGAGAAGGTCTTGTTTTCAACCTTATTCACCCTTACAAATTGTGACATATTTCGAACTAAATTTCAGGTTACCTCATTCCAGTTTTGAAGTCAAAGTTTCAACGAAACGAAACATTAAGTTGGCTGACTGGAGAGAAGGATAATATTAAGATAAACTACATGACCAATAAGCTATTTCTATTTGTGATTAGACTATTATGATACAGATGAAAGACACCTTAACATAATACAACATACAACATAAAATCAATTATATAAATACAACAACTGTATAACACGCTAAGTGACAATGCATACTTTAAATTAAAACTTTACATGATGATATATTTGTAAAACGTATACTTTATTTAATATTACCGTATAATATTTTGTTACGTTTTTTTTTTACAAGCAGTGTGTATGAAAGTTCCAAGCATTCTTACTATCATCTGGTTTTCATGATTCATTAAGTCTATTAATTTGTACATATTTGGCCTTCGCCAATA